CCTCCTCCTCCTCCTCCTCCTCCTCCCCCAAAGCCCACACCATGCAAAGCAGCACCGGCTAATCCTCAGCTCCCGCACCCCCCCTCCGCATCCCTGCTCACAAGAGTCGCCTTCGCAACCAAGGCCAGCACTCGGATTGGCTGAGGGGGAAGGAACAAAGCAGAGTGCTGGAGTGATGCTGAAGCCTGGACCTGCGGCCCAGAGGCTGGGAAGGGAGGGGGAACAGCGGCTTCTGGCTGCGTGGGGGGGGGGCAATTTTTCTCGGGGGTGGAAGCAGTTCCCCAAATGCGTTGCCCTCCGTTAGGAGAAACAGATGCAGATCAGGGGTCTCCCCAAGGAAAGACTCCAGGCAGGACCGATTTCTCAGCAAGAGGTTTTATTTATGGCCAGCTGGATGGGTGCCAGAGCCTCCTGGCAGCGCCCGCCCCCGAACAAAGAGTTTAGAAACTTTTTATACATTTCTGCATTCTACAGCACATGCGTATTAAAAGGGAATGTTTCTTATATGGATTTTATATAGATAATTCTTTTTCTTATTGCTTACAGTCTGTGTCTTTCTCACCTTCACCTAATATCAGCGGCTGCGCAAGCGTGTTTTCAAAAGCAAAAGGCCATTGTTAGAAGAGAAAAAAGCATTAAAACCTAAAACACTTTCCTACCACCTCAGAAACACCCGGGATAACAGTATGGTTGGAAACAGGAATTTTGCAGGAACCCTCCTAAACCAGTTGTCAACACAAAGATGACAGACCTCTTCGTGTAGACGCCCACCCACACCCATTTCCACAACTGTAATCTGCTGGGCAAGGACTCCCATGATTGAGGAGTACACTGCAGCTGGCCTACACCTCCCCAGGCACTCTGGCCATGCTCAGAAGCCCCCTTGCCAAGAGAAGCAAGGCAGGTGGCTAAAAAGATGAGGGGTGGGGCTCTGCTCATGGGCACCATCATGATTCACTTACTTTTTAAAGTTTCTGGGGCACCCTTCAGAACCAGATTTCCCCAGTTAGGCCATTTTAGTTCCTCCTCCCCGATCATGTCTGTACTTTTGAATTTATATATTGGGAGACTGATGTTTAACCTTCCTGTGTTACCTATTATTTTATTGCTTTTGCTGTTTTTAATGTCTAGGCAATTTTGTAATTTACCCCGAGTCTGTCAGTTACTGATCAGATTAGGAATGAGGATGATGATATAAAAATAAATAATCGACATAAATAAATAATACTCAGACTGACCGTGTTTAAAGCCTGGACAGGCTTTCTCTTCCCATTAGCTTGTTTAATATTATAATGCCCCTTCTGGAGCAGACAGAGGAGGAAGATGTCGCATGTCCTCCCACCCCAGCTGGACAACACAAGTCATTTGGGAGTCAGGCAGCTGGCTAAACCTAATAAAATGCATACATGCAAGGGCAGGCTGGTTCTAAGGCTGGTTCTCAAACCGGGGGTAATGGCCCCCAAGGGGGAAATTTGGGCATATCCTGGGGGTAACGGAGCAATTTGTAATGGCTTGTTTGGGAGTTGAGGATCCAGTTTGGAGCTGCCACAATGCTTGTGAGTCTGATTTTGGGGGGGTCGGGGTCGTGACATTATTTGAGACCAGGAAAAGGGTAATTGGTAATTGGGTCATCACGGTCCATGCCTCCCTTTGTTCCCCATCCCCCCAGCAAAATGGCAGGCAGTTCCGTGGGTCAGCCCAGGAGGTGGAGGAGGCTTCACTGGGGCTCTGCTGAGGGTCGTGAGGGGAGGGGAAATGGCGTCAGCCTATATTATATGTGGAAAGGATGACCCAGCAAATCATGGGTTTTCTAGTTCTCTGTTAAAATTTTCCTCAAGTTGAGCTCAGTGGTTGGTGCTTCACGGATTCTTTCTTTGCTATCGATATGAAAGTGTTTGGCCTCCCCCCCCACAAGACTCATTTTGCCTTCCAGCTAGCCTACCATTCTGGCTTTTCTTAGATAGTCTCCCATCCAAAGATTAACCAAGAGCTATTCTGCTTAGCTTCCAAGGAACATTAATTTCCCTCTCAATCACTAATAATCTTTCTTGTAACTTCCATGCAGTACATTGGACTCTCTGCCAACAAATGAAGAGCTATTGCTACAATAAAAGGCCCAGTATTGAACAAGGCACCTTCCAGGTCAGTGCTCCACACATTAGGAGAGCAAAAAGGTCCCGTGCCCTGCTTCAGCCACTTGGCCAGCTGTTGCTCTGTGAAACCTGCAGAGAAAAGGCAACAGGGCAGATGCAAGACTTCCAATAGATGCAATTACCCAGGATATTCTAGGAAGCCTTGAAAATAAGCTCATAGAAGTTTCTAGCTCGAAAAGATGTTTGTTGGATGGGGGAGACGTTGCAGACAGGGGCCCTCTGTTCCTTCTGTAGCAGCTCCTAAGATGGGCATGCAAAGCTCCTAAGATGTGTCCCTTTTCCACCACTCCACGATCACCTCGGCTTCCAGCTCAGTGCTTAAATGCAAGGCTGTGGCAAACATTTAGGCCAGTGTTGTCCAAACTTGGCCACTTTAAGATGAGTGGACTTCAACTCCCAGAGCTGGCTGGGCAATTCTGGGAGTTGAAGTCC